CACAAATTGTTTATCAATGATACATAATTATCAAATCAAGTTTTAGATGGAGGTGGATATCATATATAGGTTAGTTAGGTTTATTTAGTTAGTTCTAAAAAAAATTACAAAAAAGTTTATATTTGGGTATGTATGACTATATGTAATGGATAAAGTCAATCACTAAATTTTGAGGTGAGATTACACATTATTTATCTCATTTCCAAAACAAGTTTGTATGAAAAGATATAAAACAAATATGATGGAAGTCATATTCAATCTTAGGTCCTAATTAATAGGAGTAAAGAGACTTATCTAGCTATATTATCCTCACACGAGTAAAGTCTATTTTAATATGTTTTTGAATTGATCATGTTAAACTAACACTAATTAAATGGACTTTATTTTTACAAAGTTCTTGACAAGCCCACTTAGTCCACATGTTGAATAATAAAAAGATATAAAAAGTTATTTTTTTTTTATAAAAAGTTATTTTTCTTAAAAAAATAGTTGAAAAGATCAATCCTTATATATTAAATATAAACAATTTTTTTTAAACAAGAGTGTTTTTAGGGTTTATTCTTCAACGAGAGAGTTTTTAGAAATTCATTTAACTTCTTATTTAATTCGATTTTATTTATCATAATTATTTATAAATTAAATTTTAATATTTTAAAAATAAATTATTAATAAATAACAATGATTTTGTACTACAATATAAATCATTTATCACAAATTTAAAATATAGTTTATATGTTTTAAAATATCTATTTATACAAATTTTAAATATAATATATTATTTAAACATAATATCTATCTATATATAATTTATTATAAATTTAGTTATATATAATAAATATAAAACATGTATATTATACTGACTAAAATTCTAATAAATAATATAAGTTAATGAAATTTAAAAAAAATAAAGAAAAATACGAATATAAGTAAGTGAAATAGTAAAATATAAAAAATAAAATTATATAATTACTATAACATCAATCAAACATAAAAACTATATATTTTTAACTTTTTACATGAAAATATTATAAATAATTAAATACTAAGATAGAAAATTGATAAAAAAAAAATAATAAAACAGAGATCTTTACATATTATTCATATACCAAGTTGTAATCATCTAAATACTCCGTTTAAACGATAAAAACATAAAACAATTAATATCTTGTAAAAAAATCTATAAATTGACCCTTTTGAATAAAAATAAGATTGACACATTAACTCCCTAACCCTAGTCCGTATAACTTACATGTTAAATAAACTGAGTCAAAAATTATATTTAAATGAGTCAACATTTAAACTAATCCTAATTGGGTTGGTCAAAGGGTCAAACAAATTGTTTATCAATCCAAACTCATGTACCCAATTCTACAGTTTTGTTGTAAACGAAAAATTGGTCGCCAACTCTCGTTACTTAACAGCTGCGTTTTATTATTATTATTTTTTTATATTAATTTATCCTATGAAGATAGTCAACAGAGCATTGTTATGTTATTTTGATAATCTTTTATCTAAAATGTTTTAATTTTAGTTACTTATTTTAATGAGTGTTTTTAGAATAAAATTTATATCTATAATATTACTAATAAAGATTATAATTTTAATTAATTTTAATAAATCATTTATTTAGTTTTTATATAAGTAAAAAAGTATATATATATATATAAATATTTCTTTTATTTTTTATTATAAGATATTTTTAACCAATATTATATTAATTAATTCTATTACATTTATAAAACAAAATTATTATGTAATTACTAATTTTATGTTTCTTATTTATCATTAAATTTTATCTAAATTATACTTTTGGTCTTCTTATAATATTAGATTCGCAATTTCGGTACTTTTATTTTTATTTTTGTAATTTTAGTCTCTCAATTTTATAAAATTTAGAAATTTGGATCCTTAACTAAACGTTCATCTGTTAATTATTAAAATTGTGACGTTACTATGATCTAATATTAAATAAATAACATAACAATTAATATTTTATAATATTCGGGATAAATATCACTTTTAATTCTCATTATAATCACATAAGAGTAGTCAAATGAGATGAAAATGAAAACTAAAAAATGTAATTTAAGTTAAATATTATTAAATATTAATTATTCTATCATTTATTTAATGTTAGATTGCGATGAAGATATAATTTAAATTATTAACAAATGTACATGTAGTAAGGAGATTAAAATTATATATTTTATAAAATCAAGGAACTAAAATTGTAAAGTTAAAATTGAGGAACTAAAGTTATTGATTTTATATCTATGGAGATTAAAATTGTAATTTAGTATTAAATTTTTATGAGAGGTATTTCATATCAAAGTTTATACACCGATACAAATCAAAATTGATAGATGATAATTGAAATGTTTAAGAAATGAGTAAGAACATTTATTCTTCAAATTCTTTTCTTATATTCAATAACATGTATTGCATATTTTTGCAATCTTTAATAAAAAAAAAATAATTTATAAAAATTATTAAATGCTTAATTAAAAAATGCTATTATTTTTATAAAAAAAAACTATGTCTTAATATATTTAATAAGGATAGAAAGGAGTGTATATTAAGTGGATAGAGTGGTATGAAGCAAATGCAAGGTTGGTATGGCGTCAAGAAATCCAGCAAATATGCTACGTTTAATGTATCATGCAAATGCGTGTACGCTAGTCTTTTGATTTTGGTCAACGTGGCGTTTCTTTTGATTTTATGATTGGTTGGGTTGCCACTGTTGCTTGTGAGGCACTCTGATTCGGACACGTCACTCCCTTTAGCTTGCATTCTCATCAATGGACCACTCAATATTTTACATGTGGTTTCTAGAAAATTATAATTATAAATATAATTTAAGTACATGTACACATATATACACGAATTAAATTTTTAAGAATAATAAAAATCATAATAAAAATCATAATTTTATATATTGATTTTAAAAATATTTTTTAAGATAATATGATACAAATAAATCTTATATTAATACGCAATATTGTTATGAATTATCTAAAATAGTTTTCGTGCATGAAACTAATTAAAGTTGTAAATGGTTTCAAATCGATATATAGGATTCAATGAAAAGTGAATTTTGAAGTAGATCTTTAATTTATAGGGTCTCTAAGTGAAACTCTCATTATTTTTTTTCTTTTCTAAGGTTGACCGTGTGGTTAATTTGAAATAGTTTAAGCCCATTAGTTTTTGTAATATATTCTATAAGACCATTACAAAGATTTTATCTTGGAGGTTGAGACCTATTATGGATTCCTTAATACATCCTTACCAATGTAGCTTTATACCTAAATTATCATAGTAGTGACAATATTATCATTGTCTAGGAAGTAATTCACCGAATGAAAAGTAAAAGGAGCAATAGGGGTAGGTTAGTTGTCAAAGTTGATTTAGAGAAAGCTTATGATAAACTGAAGTGAGATTATATCACTAATACCCTTCAAGATATTAGGTTGTCTAATAGTTTTGTTCATGTGGTGCATCTCCTATGTTAATATGAGGGTTTTATGGAATGAAGAATTGCTTGACTCCTTCACTCCATCTAGGGGGGAATTAGACAAGGAGATTCCATTTCTTTATATTTGTTTGTGCTCTACATTGAAGGCCTATTCCATTTGATTAAAGGTGTTGCTAACCAAAAGCTCTGGAAACCCATCCAAAATTTAAGGGATGATCTTAATATATTTTACCTTGCCTTTGCATACAATATCTCTTATTATTTATGAAGACAAGTATTGAGTAAGCTAACATCATTAATCAAGTTTTGAACCTTTTACGTGAGAGCTCGGGTTAGAGTGTAAGTAGATATATGAGTAATCTGTCAATCAAAACTTATCTAAACCAACCTAATGTGTTTAATTCAGGTTTTTCAAAGGTTCATGTTATAATTGACTCAACCCAGTCAAATTTCGAAACTATATGGGTTGAGCAACAAGTTGTGTGTTGTTGATCCATGATCCAACCCGATCCAATCATAAATAATAATAATAATAATAATAATAATAATAATAGTAATAATAATAATAATCTAAAGTTAGTGTTAGTGATGCTCAATGCTTGAACAACTATGCAATTGTCCAACAAGCTTCAAATTTACTTTGCATTTAAGATTATATTAGTGTTTGCTATATTTAGGTGGATAACATTATGACAATAAAAACATATTTGTTTTAAAAATTATTTTGTAATATTGTTAGTTATTTTAGTTGATAATAATGTAACAAATTAACAAATTTAGTTTGTATCATAGTTTTTTTTTGGATTGATAATATTTCATTTGGAGCAAAATATATCAAACCAATTTTGAGATATTTAAATTTAAAAAAAAAATAAATTTAATTATGTTTACTCGATTAACCTAATCTAATGCAATTCATTCGTAATTAAATTGGATTAGATTAAATTTTACAATAAAAAAATACACAAATTCAATCCAATCAAACCCGTTAATTTTTAACCAAATTAAATAATAAAATCATCTAAATTTGAATCATTCCAAATCATTTACACTTTTAACTCGAGCAAAAAGTTCAATTCATAGAAAGTTAGAGCCTATTTCTCTAATAATGTTAATAATCAGGTAAGGAACAAGTAGCTTTGAGAACTTGCTTCAGATAATATCTACTCATGAGAAATATCTTGGTGTCCCGGCCCTCTTCACCATTAAAGGGCTACCAAATCAATCTTTCAGATAAATAAATAAAAAAACAATATAGATTATAGAAAAGTAAAATAAATTAAACTGTTTTATTTTAAAAAGATTAAGAATATCTTTATTAAATAATTTTTATTTTAAATTGTAATATAATTTTAATTTCTTAAAAATGAAAATAATTTGAATTTTTAAAACAAAAATCAAAACAAATAAAAACATTTTTTAAAATATTAAAACAAAACAAATTTTCTTTCTGTGAACCATTCTTCTGTGATATTTCACTTATTTAAAGCTAGCTAAACCTAGGCTATAAGCCTTCTTTGATAATCATATTTCAAGAACATATTTATCTTTTGTAGAAAAAATAGTTGAAAATTTCAGAAATTACCTGTAGAATATCTCCGATGTTTACAACTAGAGCTCCTTGCACCGGAGGAACATTAACCCAATGATTATCATGAAGAATTTGAAGACCACCTATCTGATCTTGCAAAAGTATTGTTATGAAGGTACAATCAGTGTGCTTTGAAATACCCAGAGTTAATTCAGGTTCAGGGCATTGTGGATAGTATTGACCCATAACATGAAGTGCTTCAGCGCAGTCCATTTCTTTAAGGTAAGAAGGATTAAGTCCAAGAGCCTCTGACAGTAGCTCAAAGATTGTGATACCCAATGCTTTTACTTGTTTTGCATATTCAGCCACAATATCTCTACAAATACACAATTAGTCGAGTAAGAATAAAATGAAGATCCTACATTGATGGGTATGCAAGTCAAATTCCCAAGTGATCCTGACTTAATAATGCCATTTAACAAATATGGTATATAGAAAAGATGCATAAATGCTAAATAGAAAAGAGTCTAACCCAAAGATTAGCTTATTTATTAGGTAGGAGATTCTCATAAATTGCTCAATGTAACATATCATACCCTTTAAAGGGGAATATCCCTTTCACTGGTCGTTCCTTTCCATTTTCAGGTGCCCCTTTTAGGGTCAGAGACCTCTCAACAAATACACCAATTGTTATAATTTAATATTGCAATATTGCAAGGAGAATCCAATCCAAGAGACTAACTTATTGGATAGGAAAATCTCATAAATTATTTACAGCATTGAACTTCCTTATTTGATCAATGTCATAACTCATAAATACCTATTTTGCTTGGATTCTTAAAACTCAACACCAAGTCCTTCAAATAAATACAAGATAGAGAACATGCTTCAAGATGGTAATAATTGGGGGGGAGAGAAAACTCTTTCCAAGTTAGCATCCTTCAATGAACTAGCTTGCATATCAGACAAATATTTGAGGAATTCAGGGACTGCTGAGTTTTAAGAAACCCGGAACTGAAAGAAAAAGAAAAGAAAAGAAAAAGTGAAACTTTTCAATGTCTAAAACTAATATTTTCATGTAACTGTTGGGGTCTAAGAATCCAAAAACTCCAATGCACTGAAGTGAAATAAGTGAATTCTGTAAAGGCCAAAGTCTAGTATAACTCAATGACATAACGGGCAACCGCTAGAGTTCTGCATAGACAGATATATTAAAAGACAAAACTTAGAGTTACTTACCTTTGGTGTTAGTCTCCAATCAGAATTAGAGTTTATAATCTATGCTAACCTCTAATGCAGACCTTTATTACGCAGATTTCTGAGTCTAATTCTGATCAGAGAAAAGTACAGAAAGCACCTAAACATCTGCATCTAAGTTTTTCCTACTATAAATGGAAATACCAAAACTACAATGAAGCAGGATGATGTGCAGGCTTTCTAGCCCCAAAACTTTTATTAGAAACATTACCTACAAACTGCTGGCATATCTTGTGGGTTTGGAGGATCGGGATTCACAGAAAAAGCAAGTGTGTCCCTCCAAGTACCAGCCATCTCTCTGAAGAGTTTCCCATTAGAAAAGTACCTGACTTTCTTAGTGCTATCTCTGGAGTAAAAGGGTTTCCTTGCCTCAGCATCTTGCTCATGAAACCTGCGGATTCCACTGATCATCTCATCCAAAACCTCAACAGGAATGCCATGATTGATCACTTGGAAAAAACCCCACTTCTGAGATGCACTCCTGATCTGGCCAACTACTTCAACACGCTGAGTTGTGTTCTTGCTTATGTCCACAAGATCAATGATTGGGAATTGGGATGTGCTGAAGTTGGTGTCAGCTGGTGAGGTTGGAGTGGGGTCTGATTTTACATGGAACATAGGTGGAATCTTTGTCACCCCAGAATCTAAGACACCTTTTACACCCGTTTTTGAATCATCAAACGCTTGAACTTCAGCTTTTCTGTCATTAACTGACTCTAGTTCCATACCAGGAAACTGCCAACAGAATCAAACTTTTGATGAGTGATCACAACGCTATGTCCTTTGACAATATTAGCAGTAGTAGTTGTAGGAAGAGATGTTCCCATATGGGCCAGGTAACTCTATTTGGATCATTGTAGCTTGAAGAAGCTTGGACCAGCTACTTGCATATGGGCTTAAAATTGCATTCAAATTTTCTTTCTGTGAACCATTCTTCTGTGATATTTCACTTATTTAAAGCTAGCTAAACCTAGGCTATAAGCCTTCTTTGATAATCATATTTAAAGAACATATTTATCTTTTGTAGAAAAAATAGTTAACAATTTCAGAAATTACCAAAAATATATAAAATATTTTTTTTTATAACCGGCCAATCAAATTAGTGTTTCTTCCACAATCTTTAAAAATTTTACAAAATTAATTTAGTGCTTCTAGTCGAATTATTATGCATCGTATCCCAACAAAATCGCAACATATGCTTAATAGAATATCTTTAACTTGAGTGACTGAAAATAGTCTCATGAAGATTGATAACATTTTCTCAATTCAAATGTGTATCTGCAAAACATGAATTCGAATCATGATAAATATATGAAGTTAAATAAATATATATGTAGTTATATACATTTTATAAATTGATACGGAGAAGAAAAAAAAAATAACGTCGTAGTTTCTCACATATTTTTTGTGTCGCTAACTCTTGACTGTATTAAATGATGAATGTTACATATATCATCACTATTTTTTTTTTTTTAGAGAATAAAGTGGTTAATATTGTCGAGAATAATCACAGTATGACTTGGAAACATGTTTTTCAATAAACAAATCAAGTTGTCGATAGTTTAGATAAGAAGGAGTGTTTATTTTCTGAAGATGTTTATGTGTTTTGTGAGACCCCTTTTCTCTCTTTAATTTTTCCTCCTTCACTTTCCCTCCCTCATTCTCTTCACTCTCCCATTTTCTCAACTTTCTTTTCTCTATAGCTGAAGTTGTGGACTCCTAGAGACGGAGATTCTCGAACGCAAGCCGTGCGGAGCTAGCTGGAAGCCGAATTCCTTCTCCATTTCTTCTCCTTCTCCATTGTCTTCTTCCCGGAGCTCGGAAATTCTTGTGTCGAGGTAAGGGAAGCTAGCTTTCTTCGCTGTTTTTGGATGTCATGGAGTTCAAGTAACTCAATAGTTGTTGAAGGGGTTGATTCTTGGTTGTGATTGAAGAAAAATTTTCGTTTTCGGGTTTCCGGGGTTCGGGTACAAATCTTGGGGATTTCACTTGTTGATGGTTGCATGTTGGAAATGAAGTGTTTTTCTTGATGCTTGATGAAAATGCTGGCTTTTGGATGGTTTGCATGTTGTTTTCCTGGTGTTTTTCGCAGGTTTTGATGAAATTTTCGAAGTGGGTAAGGATTTCTGTTTGAATTTGCGCCGGGCGCAGTTCTTAGCGCTGGGCGTGATTTGAAATGGGAAGTTTCTGGGTGAATCGCGCCGGGCTCGGGGTGAACCACACGGGCGCAATATACCTCTGTAGGTCTCTGGTTGAGAATTGCGCCAGGCGCTCTTTTAATGCGCCGGGCGCGCATTTGATTTTCAGAATTGGACTTTGTAGTCTTCATGAAAGTTGTAGCCTTGGATGTTAGCTTTCCAATGGCGCTGGAATCACTCAAAAAGGAGTTATAGAACTCTAGATATGGCTGTTTTAGTGAAGAGGGGTCGAGCTGCTAGCTTTGTTTATAGCTGTTGCGGTTTTTATCATTTTTAACATGGTAAATGAAGGAATTAGGACTTGGTGTCTTCATGAGAGTTGTAGGAAATCCTCTTATCTTTCATATGAGATAAGTATGAGTATGGTAGGAGTAGTGTAACTCCTGATGCTCTATTTTCTGTGAAGGTTGCCATTTCACATTTAGTGATTTGGTTAAGTTGAAAGTTGTTTTAGGTGCTTAGGTTGATTGGTGTTGTTTGGATGGGTAATTTGACAAGATAGAAGAGTTGTAAACAAGGTGGATGAGCTGTATTATGTGTAGAATATGTTGTATGTTGTATATGCTGCTAATGATGTAATGCTACGCTATAATAGATATATATTGTCGTGCTGAGCTGGGCTGTCATAAATGATTTTCATGTTGAATTAAAATCTTGTGTGCTATAGATTGTTGAGCTGAGTTGTGAGTAGTAAGCTGTGTTGTATACTACCTAGCTGTGCTGGATGCTGATATTGATGTGCTGCGCTGAGTGCGGCCCCTGTCGCGCTGGGCGTGAGGCTCCTTGGGAGTCTCTTCCTGGTGGGCGCTGGGCGCAATTTGAATTGCGCTGGGCGCGAGACCAAGGGGAGGTCTCTGCCTTCCCCGCGCTGGGCGCGGGTTTGGGCACACCGGGCGCGTGAGACTCCTTGGAGTCTCTGTCTGGCAGGCGCTGGGCACAATTGGTATTGCGCCAGGCGTGGGTGAGCCTTGAGCTCTCTGGCTGAGTTTCACCGAGCGCAGACATTCCTGCGCTGGGCGCGCTGGCCCCTTGGTGCTCTCAGGTTGCACTGCGCTGGGCGCAACTACAAGTGCGCCGGGTGCGGAGATAAGAAATTATTATGTACTGATTTATGTTGTTTTATGCTGAGTTGAGTTGAAATGGATGAATATAATGTGATGACTAGTAGATGATGTTGCAAGTTGATATGTTGAGTTGTACAGTTGTGTTGTATTCCAAGCTGATATGTTGAGTTGTACAGTTGTGTTGTGTTGCAAGTTGATGTTGAGTTGTATAGTTGTGTTGTGTTGCAAGTTGATGTTGAGTTGTACAGTTGTGTTGTGTTGCAAGTTGATATGTTGAGTTGTAAAAGTTGTGTTGTGTTGAATGTTGATTGCTGTAGGCCATAATGGCTGAGTTGTTGTAGGCCATAAGGGTTAAGTTGTTGTAGGCCATAAGGGCTGAGTTGTTGTAGGTCATAATGGTTGAGTTGTTGTAGGCCGAAAGGCTGAGTTGTTGTAGGCCATAATGGTTGAGTTACTGTAGGAGATCTCCGAGTTGATATGCGTGACGACGCATTGTGTGCTTATTGCTGATTATGCTGTAAAATCGATGAGTTGTATGTTGAAGGTGTGAGATGTGTGCCGTTATGGCTAAATGGTGTGGTATTTTAAATGAATTTTGTTAAGTTGATTGATGGGTTGATTTGGTGTGCTGATAGGGGTAGCTGTTTACTATTCATATATTTATATATATGTATGTTATTTCTTTTCACTAGCTTACCCTTTGTTGTTTCCATGTGGTTTGGACTGCGATGATCATACTATGTATGGGAGCAAAGCAGGGTTAGGCAGGTGGCTAATGGTGAGTCTGCATCTGGAAGGCGGAGTTGGATCCTTGTTGATGCTTTGTTGTTTTCAGCTACTTGGTGTAGCCGTTGATAATGTATTTTGTTTTTGTACACTCTAACTCTAGTCGGATAGGGACTTTGTATATATTTATATTCTAGATCCTATGATTTATATACTTGTCCTTTCTGTGTGGCGTTTCCGGTGTACAGTGGTGTGTGTAGTGACCAGCTGAGTCGTTACATGTCTCAGTTCCCTTCTCTTGAATTCAGGTTTCTTCACATGTTGATATTTCAACTGTGACCTTTTTTTTTATAAAAGTTTTTACTTTGAGCTTTTAGTCCTCCATTATACCAAAAAAAAAAAAGCTCTTAACCACATTAACTTACATGTTTTTCCATATTGAAATTAGTTTGGTCTATCAAGAGGCATTTTGTAATTAATTGTAAAAAGTAAAGCAAAAACTATGAAAAAAAAATGTTACAAATGTAAACGTTAGCATAGACTCAAGAAAAAGAATATTTGTAAGACCCACACAATTTTCCCCTATTATTGCTCCTTTCCCCTCTCATTTTTCTTTCTTTCTCATTCACTCTTCCTTTTGAATCCCAAATGTGTTGAGCCCATTCACTTTATTGTGATTCTTGAAGGTTGCTAAAGATAGGAGAGCAAGGACACTTCAAATTTCCTGAGTCGGGTTTTCACTTCCATTTCTCTTCTTCCTTCTTATAGCTCGGAATCAAAATTCTTCTTCCTCTGAGGTAAGGGAAGCTAGAAATTCACCATTAATAGTTGCTTGTAGCATGAAAGTGGTGTTATTTGATGGATTGGCTGAATGAAGATTAATTTGTGTAGCATATGAGTTGAAAGTGAGGAGTTGAGTGGGAGTGAGAAAATGTGGTGGTTTGAGTCAGATTCTTATTGCATGTGGGTTATGTGATATTTTATGTGCTGTATATTGATGGTAGTGTTGTATTTTTGTAGTTGCATGTACTGGGTCTCCTTAAATTGTTGGTTTTTGAGCGATTATAGGTAAAAAGTGAAGGTGGGAAGTCATGAAAGTGCAAAAGCTCTGCATTTAGCGTTGGATTGTTGAACCAACACTACAGCTGTGGGAGAAAACAGGAGGGCCGAGATCTGTCACTGCATGGAAGTGGTGTTGTTTGATGGGTTGGCTGAATGGGGATTAATTTGTGTAGCATTTGAGTTGAAAGTGAGGTGTTGAGTGGAAGTGAGAAAATGTGCTGGTTTGAGTTAGATTCTTGATGCATGTGGGTTATGTGATATTTTATGTGTTGTATATTGATGATAGTGTGGTATTTGTGTAGTTGCATGTGCTGGGTCTCCTTGGATTGCAGGTTTTTGAGGGATTATAAGTGAAAAACGAAGGTGAGAAGTCATGAAAGTGCAAAAGCTCTACATTTAGCGCTAGAGTGCTGAACCAGCGTTGTAGCTGTGGGAGAAAACAAGGAGGTTGAGATATGGTGCTACAGCTCCAAGTTGGGGGCTGAAACCCTGAGAGAAATTGATTTGGCAGAGACCTGGAGCTGCAGCTCCAAGTTGGGTGCTACAACCCCAGGAGAAAATGAAGTTGGTAGAAAGTTGGAGTTGAAGTGTTGAATTGAGCACTGCAGTGCCAAGAGTAGATGATCGAATTTGGTCTTGGGATCTTTATAAAAGTTGTAGTCTTGGATGTTAGCTTTCCAATAGCATTGAAACCACCCAAAAATGAGGTCTAGAACTCCAGTTATGACATTTTTAGTGAGAAAAGGTCAAGCTATTAGGATTTAGGCTACTTGTTGCGGTTTTTACATTTTTTAAGAAGGTAGATGAT